TTTTTTTTTTTTTTTTTTTGGTAGTAACGAGGTCTCACTATGTTGCCCAGGCTGGTCTCAAACTCCTGAGCTCAAGCAAACCTCCTGCTTCAGCCTCTCAAAGAGCTGAGATTATAGGTTGTGAGCCACCATGCCTGGCCAAGAATTATTTCCTAAATTGCTTGGGTTATCCCATAACCTTTACCTCCTCAAGACTTTTGTGGTTGACTTACATATATTTTAGAAATTAAAACTTGGTTATAAATGAGAGGAAGGTTGCTAATTTTGATTCTGTGATCATCTTCCAGAACATTCTTGGCTCTTTTATTTAAATATCCTTAATAAAGAGAAAACAAGATGCATTTTCAGGTGTGTAAAACTGGTATACCATGTACTTCTGTGGAGTAAAAGGACTTTTCAGAAGCAGATAACATACATGGATGGAAATCTTGCTTTTTCCCCTTTACGTGCCCATTGCATACATGCCCATAAACACACATTGTACACACTCTTACTTATTACTTGTTTTTTTTTTCTCTGATCTGTATAGGAAAGAAAAAATCTAAATTCAAAACTTTTAAGAAGTTTTTTGGGAAGAAGAAGAGAAAAGAATCGCCGTCGTCCACAGGAAGTAGCACCTGGAAACAAAGTCAGACAAGGAATGAGGTCATTGCCATCGAGTCCGGACCAGTGGGCTACGACTCTGAGGATGAGCTGGAGTAAGTTGAGTTTTACATCCCTCAGGCCAGGAGCACCCAAAGATGCTATTTCATTATCCTGGTAACTTGCTGGATTTCTGAGCCCCCTTTCTTCCTGGGTAATTCCATTCGAGGTTTTTCCACACAAGTTGTTGTTTCCTATCTTTTCAAACCTAGGGATGGAGAACGCTGCATGTGTTCAAGTCCACAATGACAGTGGGAGAGGAGGTACTATATGCCGTTTTACAAACAGGCAAAATAAGCCCTAGATAAAATTTGGAACTTGCCCAGCATCCTACAGCTGATAGTGACAGGATCAGGGTAGGGGCCCTGGTTTAACAGGACTTAAAACTCTTTTGAGGACCTAGATACTAAACTAGAAAAGTACATTTCTCTAAACTTGCACATTGGGGCATGCTTCTTGCTATTCACTTAGAAAAAAATCATCCAAAAATATCATTAAGAAGAACAGACCCAATAAACACAAAAAAACCTGGGAGGTCTAGTAAAGAAATCCTTATTTTTGTAACTTGTATTTCATTAAAATATAGTTACAGTATATATGCTGCATTTATTCTAGCAGTTATTTCTGTAACTAAGAAGAAATGAAACAGATTTGTTGCTGTGCCGGCTTTTACCTTATTTTTTTTTTAATACAACACTGGCCCTTTAATTTGAAGATAGAACTCTTCAGGAAACGTAATATCCCTCAGGTTTGGGGTACAGACCACGCTGAGATGCGTCCCAGGCTTGAGCGTCCCGATAGTGGTGTCCTGTTCCCGCCCCTGCTCTCCCCTCCTCCCCAGCCTCCTCGCCTGTTTTTTAAAGGAGTAGAAATTTTACTGGCCACTTGGTGGCACCAGATGACTGGAAAGGAAAGATTGGACGATTGGAACTTTTTTTTCCCCCCCAGTTTTGGGTGTTTTTTTTGGTTTTGCTTGCCTTTGGTGCTAGCACGGAATGTAATAGATTCACATTGCACCGTGTGAAGTGTGGAAGGGATATACTATGTGTGCATTTTTTTAGGCGGTGCTCTGAACTCTTGGGGCGTGAGATGTTATCATGATAATATTACTAATTATTCAGTGTCATCACTTTGCATGCCCCAGGGAAACTCTAACACCCACCCCCATCCACCCCTGTCTCTTGACTGGATGGAGCACACAGTTCTGGTATTTGGAGAGACAGGCCTGGGAGTGGCCCCTCCAACCACAGACAGGAGCGCAGCCGGAGGGGCAAGCTGGGGTGAATTGGCTCGTGGTGTGAAATAGCTGATCACTTGCTGGTGTCTATCCTGTCACAGCAGCGCACGGAAAGTGGAGACAGTGCGCTTTTTATCTTGATATTCCCAGCACCTTGCAGGGAGCTGGTCCTCAGTGACTGGTAACAGTTGGCTGGTTTTGACGCTAGGCAAGGAAGATTGGGGGTGGGGCATGATGAGGCCTGGGAAGTGCAAACGACATTTTTAGAGAGCAGCGCAGAGGAAGAGGCAAGTACTGTTTGGCCTGTGGGAGTCTGCGGCAACTTCTCATCCATCACTGCGGGCAAAACAGCTCCATTTACTAAGGCACATTACTGCTAGCAAACCACATGGGACCCTGTGGGTTGAAGAAAGTGATGCCCATTTATCATGTCTGTGTCTGTACAGTTGTGCTTCTTAAGTCTCTTGATCTATAACAATTTCCTTTTGCCCTCCTCCCTTTGTTTCATGCCATTGATCTGAAGGAAGAGCAGGGCCATGTGCCCTATAGAATGTCCCATATTCTGGCTTTGCTTTCTCTTGATGTGATTCAACTCTTTCCTATATTCTCCCAATTCCCAGTACATCATTCTGTGGATCTAGATTCTTTTAGGTTCAAGCAGGTGCTGGGTGTTGTTATATCCCATCTGAGTCACCTGCTTTCTGAGCAGTGGGTTCAGGGTGTCATTGTGGTCCCTCTACCAGCCTTCACCTGACAGTTTTAACACGAAGTGGTGATTCTTCTAATTCCGTCATTCATTGTACACTTGCTAACTGAAATTCTTCAATGAGAACTTTCCTTCATCAATTGCTTGGTTGCTCTGAAACACAATTTGTAAAGTCAGGCTCTCCTTTTATTGATCCACCCTCAGAGTAATGACATGGTCCTCTAGCAACTCCCAATAGTGGCCAGTGGGTTTTGTTTTTTTCTTTTTTTTCCCCAAATACCATTAGGAATGCATTACTTTTTATATATTTGATTTGCTTTAATCCATGAGTCTTTATTCATTTTAATGCTCAAGTTGTTTCATCTTAGGCTGTTGAGAGTCACTTCAAATTTGCTCCTGGGGTCTTTTGACATGACCCCATTCATCTTTGATGGCTTCCTTACTTTATTGCCCAATGAGAAATCTCAGGTTTAGTTGGTATATTTTCTTCCCCCGACCTGGAATCAACACTTTTTTTTCACAGGGCCCTGGCCCCCTCCTCATGGTGTGAAATGGCTTTTAAAGACCTCAGTCCAGCTGCCAGGGGGCAATGATTACTAATTGGCTATCACTGCTTCTAGACCTTTCTAGTGGATATAGCTAGGAAATACTTTATTTTTCAAGAGAAAAATTAATCATTAATTTGCTATTTCCAATTCAAGTTTAATAAGACAACATTTTTACTTCTTTAATTCTTTGTATACTTTTCTCTTACACTGGAAATCAGGGCTCCTTATGATATTGACAAAATGACTCATCTTCTTTAACCTATCATAGATTATAATAATTTCCTTATCCCCTTTCCTACATGGAAGTTAAAAATACTATAAATGCTTTTCTGCATGGTGTCTTATAATAGTGTTACTGCGAATAAATCTACAGAGTGCAATGTAATGTTTTTGATTTTTAATCATTATTACTACTAATAAGATCGGTGAGTGCAGTTTGATGTCTTTGGTTTTCTTGCCATTGTTCCTAGAATGTATTCTATCTTGGATGTGGAGTTGAAGTCACTTGGAATTATTATATTCTCTGTCTTGTCATGCTAATAATATGATATAAAACCAGATTTGTTTGTGTTTGTTTTCTAGTTTTAGAGATTGTTTCATTTCTCTTTTTGATTTGATCTTTTAATTATGTAAAACATTTACATAGTTTCAAAGACAAAGTTGTAAATGTAGGTATCTTTGCACCATGTCTCCTCATCTAGTCCTTCCTTCCCCATAAAGGAAACCACTTTTACATATTTGTTATGTATTTTTCCATTTTCATTTTTTTAAATATAAGAAACACACACACATGTTCAGATAACATCCATGCCCCCTTTTCCACGCAGTGCTGACATACTGTGAACATTGTGTTGCTCTGCAGTGGTTGTGAGTTATTTCACTTAGTAGAATCTGATGATGCCTGTATGCAGCGTGTAGAGAACCTTCCTGCCCATCCGACCAGCTGTGGAGTCCTCCATCCTATGACATTCCATGTTTGATTCAGTTAGATGCCTACCGAGGGGCATTAGGTGCTTCCCGTCTTTCGCTTTTCTGAATATTGCTGTAGTGAGTGGCCTTGTGCGCCTGCCATTTTGTTTTTGCCCACGCATCTTTGCGGAGACCTCTTTATGTTGCCTCTGCTCTTTGTTACATCCAAAATGGAGGTGCTTGGGTGGTGATTGTGGTCCCCAAAGGATGTGGGCCATGGGCTGTCTACTGGGGAAGGGAAATCCAAGCGTGTGTGTGACCTTTGGGTTAAGAGCTGCCCTTGGCAGGGAGGGCCTGATTCCATCAGTTGGCGTGGTTCCTTCCCTGGCATGTGAGGACACACACATCCTGGGAACCGTGGGTTCCCACTTATAAGCTTACTGTTGCAGGCATAAGAGTTTAATTAGAAGGAAGCATTATTAACCAACACAGTTTGATCTACAGTGGGGCAGAGTTCTTACTGCCCCACAGTGGACAGGATGCCCAGGGTAGGGGAGTGGCAGGAGGGTGGGGGTGGGGTGGGGCACACAAGATGTCCAGCATGTGCAAAGGCGGGCTTTCCTTCCTTCATCATCGGGTCTCAGTCATCTCCTTCCACCTATTGTTCAGGCAGCTGCTGCTGCTAGGAAAATCTGACAGCTAATTCCCACATCCTTTTAGGACATTTTGTGAATGTCCTGTGGGTTTCAGTCCCAGATCAGATTCTTGAGCTCAGAGCCGAGGAAGGGGCTGGAATGGCGATAACAAAGGCCACCATCTCTGCTCCAGGATCTAGGTAGGCACAGAGGTTTTGCCAGGATCTATGTAGGCACACGGATGGTGCCAGGTCATAAAAAGAGGCCATGGCTTTGCAGATTTGCAGTTCTCACTTCAAACAAGCCACTAATGTATGTCTTGGCTGTCTTGTGAGGATGCGTTCAGCAGGCAGGACCTCAGCCTGCTGCACACACACAGCCTTCAACCCATGGAGGGGCTGTATGTTTGCCTTCAAGATGTGACCTCACCCTCCCCGGGGCAGCCGGTACAGGCCTCCTCACAAGCTGGCCTTTGCCAGCCCCTCCCCTCTGCAGGTGTGCTGTCTTACACCTCACACCTTGTCAAACCTTGATTTTTCCACCAATAAAAAGAATTCACACACCCTTTAGCTCTTCTAGTAAGATTCCTTTCTCTACAATGCTCCAAATAGTTGACTGGCATTTGATAGTGTGTGGATAAACTAAAGTCAGGGACCACTGAAATGTAAACGCAGTGGAGGGAGTGTTGTATGATGTTCTGTTAACCCAGATACCCCTTTCTCATTCTGAGCCCCCCAGGGGGTCAGTAAGATGGAGGTGGGCAGAGTCTCACAGTGGCTGTTTTATCCTAGGGAGTCAAGGGGCACGATGGGCAGCCGGGCCCTCTCTCACGACAGTATTTTCATTCCTGAGTCCGGACAGGACCCCACTCGGCCTGTGCGGGTGTTTTCCCAAGAGAATGTGTGTGATCGGATTAAAGCTCTGCAGGTAAATGTTTCTTCGGTTGTGTCACCGGGTATGCAAGTCAAACATCCATCGAAACGTTTTTAAATGGTTTCTGCTTGGTTTATTTGGTACGCCGTAAAGTAGAATCACATACATGACAGCTCTCCCAGGACACACCGAGTTACAATGGCCTCTCGACTCATTCTTAGATAAACAAAGAAGAGATGGCAGTGGAAGAGCTGGCGGCAGATGCACGTTCAGTTCAGTTCTCTGCATCATGCCAAAACACTGAAGACATTTTCAGCATGAATGAGTTAGAGCAGGAGGATTTGTTGATAAATATCATTGATGAAAATAAGAGCACATGTTCTTTATTCCAATCTAGTTAAAAATACAGTGTAATGTGAAAATGGGACCACCACCTCCTCCAGGGGGACTTCCTGCCAAGCGGGGAGAAGACGCCGGCATGAGCTCTGAGGACGACGGGCTGCCCAGGAGCCCCCCAGAGATGTCTCTGCTGCATGACGTGGGTCCTGGCACAACTATAAAGGCAAGTACAGCCTGTGCTGCTGCACGTCTCCATCCGCACCTGCCGTGGAGGGCGCTGGAGCTCTGGGATCCCCTGTGTGTGCCTCTGAGATCTCCATGGATAGGTGAGGCTGTGCGTGGTGTGGCCGACTGGGTCACTAGAGCCTACAGTCAGCCCTTGAGATGTGTTTATTTTCATTCCTTGAGTAGAAATTCAGGTCTGGTTAGGGGACTGGTTTTGGTGACTTTTTTTTATAAGGATGATAGGTTGATAGAATTAACCCGGAATCAACCCTCTCCCTAGTCTTTCCTATGTGAGCAGATGACTAGACCCAGAACCCCATTTAGAAGAAAGGAAACACATTGTGTCTGTTTTCTGTTGCCCTGACATTTGGCCGGTGGGAAGGGGGAATAGTGAGTATGTGACCGTTGAGGCTCTGATGGTCTCCGGTGCCTGAGCCTGTGACCCTGAGGTGGTGTTGGCGTGCAAGTAGTAATGTGCTGTGTTGCTGCAAACAGGGCAGCAGGGAAAGGTTGACAAGCAAGAGAGGAACTGATGAACTCAGCAAGGTGGAAGAACCGGTCCCAAACACCACCTTCCCCATTAGAAACCAAGGGGCGGGGTTGGGGGGGGCAGCAGGCAAGGAACTAAGCTCTTTCTCATGCATAAACAACATAGCTAGTGATGTTGCCACGTTTTAAATTCTTTATGTTATTGTGGTAAGAACACTTAATGCCCATACAATGTACTTGCACATAAATGTTACAAATAGGTGGTCATCGTTCTCATGTAGACAACCCTGGCTGTGGGGGATGGATAGAGTTGGAGTCATCTGTTATGCTGACACTTGGAAAACAAATAAAGGCCAGAGTTTATTTTTTTATAGCCACACACCTGCCCCTGCAGCCCTGTCACCTCTGGCCTGCTCAAGGGGCCACTGGCAGTGAAGGGGGTGGGTTCGTCGTAACCCACTGCCTTGCAGATTCTGTGCTGCTCTGAACTCTGTTCAGAAGCCACTTCAACGTGCGCACCTATAAACCCTGCCACACAAAATTTTTGGGTGTGGTTGTAAGTTCCCAAAACATCACTGATAAAAAGGCAGAAGGACTGTGGTGGGGCTGAGTGTGTGGGGTGGGAACTGACGTGAACCCAGCTAGAGAATTATTCTCTCTAGAATTTTGCTCAGGGGCGAGGCTGTCCCTGCTCATTCCAGGAGCAGGGTCTGAGGACAGTGGGCTACCCAGGCCTGCTCTCCAGCCTTGAGCAGAAGGGAGAGAGGAAGAGGAGGATGGTATGGCCTATGTCATAGACTCCACCGAACCAACCCAGTACGCCTTAACACCTCAAATACTCTTTTGTGCAATTTCAGAGTCCTCCTGTCAGTAGCAGATGCGACTTTGTGTATTTCTGGGCTATGCAGTAGGAAGAGGTCTGTTGTGAGCTGCCTGATTCCTCATCATAGATGGACTCCCCCCTTCCCATCCCACAGATCTCTGACTCTCACAGCATCCCAGTTCTCTACCTTTAGCCAGGATGGGCAGTAAGAGGAGAGGTTGTTTCTAACCCATCCATTGACAAGCAAGCCTGTCTCCAAACCCGTGTGACACCATGAGGCACAAATTCCACAGGTGGCTCGGCTGGACCAGGCTGACCTTGTCTCTCACAGCACAACCACCTCCTGTGGTTGGTCCTTTATTAAAAAAAATTTTTTTTGAGATTTTATCAATTTTGGGGTAATATGGACAATCTTCTAGCTTCATAGGAAACCAAAATTTGGAACTTTAAGACTTAAAAGCAAAAGTGTAATCTTTACTGTCTTCATTGTTTTGAAGACACGATGATTCCATTTTGAGGCCTGAAAGTTTTTATGCATAATTGGTCAATTGAGAGGGATAAACAACACGCCCTTTAAAATGGGCTTCTAGAATATGTTGTATTTGATAAAATAGTGCCTCTGGCCCCAAAAGGATGGATGGAGGCTGTTTAATGTTCTCCCATATTTACACCTTACACAGGCCCACATGCTTACACAGGCCCACATAGACAGAGAAATGTATTGTGGAAAAAAGAGTCTTTATAGCAAGTATTTAATGTTTTAACCAGGGTGACGTTTCCTGATAGAGTAAGTTTTTCAGGAAATATATGGAATAATTTTTCAAATTTTATTACCAAGTGTCATAACTGATGAAAGTTTACTTGGTGGTTTTTAAGATAAAATAATGTCTAATGGGTCATATTCCCAGTGTCCTGCTACAAAGCAGGGCATGCCAGGTAGATGGTTGAAAAACTGGCAGGGCTACTGAGTCATTTTGCTCCTGGTGATGCGGGAAGGGCAGATGGGGAGGGAACACAAATCTGGTGGCAAATGAACAAATACATGCCCACAGCTCCAGAGGTTGGCCTCCAGCAGGCTTATCACCTCTTGGAATCTGTGTCTTCAGAGGGTTTTGGCTCAGAGTTTTCGGGGGATGAGATGAGATTGGGTAGATCAGCACCTCTCCTTCCAGTAGGACCAATGGCTTCTCTTTACCCCTGGAACACCAAGGTGCCCCTGCTTCCTGTCCAGTGGCCCTTCCTTCATGAACTGCCCCCAGCTCACTCCTCAGTGACTGAGCCCCTCTTTTTGAGGACACACATCCTAAAGCACCTGTCACTCAGGGCCGCCCATGAAAAGCTTCTGAACCCATTTCCTCCAGCCATTTCCTCTGGGCCCTTTGAGCTGCCTTTCCTGCAACAAAGAGCCACATGCTAGGCTTTTAAATTTTCTGCTTTCAGAATCATCCAGAAGCACAGATTTCAGGAAAAACTGGGTGACTGGAAGCAAGCCATGCAGAGGTGAATGTTCTGGGTGCTACCAGCCCACCCATGAATCCAGCTTCCCAGCCCTCATCTCTTCCCCATGGTCCTAGCCCACCCCACGTATTTATATCACTGATCAACAACAGACACGATTCTCCTTGATCATGAAGATGGGGGGTCTTTCCAGACCGCAAGATCTCTCAGAGCAACAGTGGAAACAGAAGTGAGAGTTCTGAGACCAGAGAAGTTGAGTTCCCTAGTGGGGGAGAGCTTGTACCTGGGACACACGTCAGGGGAGTTAGGCTCCATGCCAAGGTCCCCTAGCCCAGGGGCCAGAGTGGGCCTGAGCCCAGGACATCTGCCCAGGCAGGACAGACGCCAGGTGGCCCACAGGGAGGAGGGCCTGCTGTTTATCCTTTGGAGCCTTCAGGGTATTGGGCTTATAGAGGAGCAGTCAGGGGTATCATTGTCACAGGCACCATGATCATTCTCACTGCACTTGCAAAGCGGCTTATCTTGTCTGTTCTCATGAGTCCTAGGCAGTGAGGTTTTTTTTTTTAACCAAATGTTTATACATTGTTCCTCTAGACACAGGTAAATATTACAGATTCTGTATGATTTTTTTTAAATGTACACATCCTATTTGTGACCTTTAAGGAAGACTATCTAGGAAAGGTATTGATTTCCCAGTCTAAGGCGACTTCCTGAGTCGTCAGTGACCACAGTGAGAGCCAAAGCCACAGGCACATACATAGTCACGGCCCAGAGACTTACGGTTTATTTTTAGCATAATTTTTTTTCACTTTATTCCCGTAAGTATCTGAATAGCTAAAATAGAATTTATGTAGATTATGTCCACTTTTAGCCCCTTCTCCCCCATGGTAGTAATTATCTCCTCCTTGTTTACACGGATAAATTACACTTTTATTAGAAAATAGGAGAGGCCTTCATGTAAACAGGGAGAGGTAGCTCCTCCCATGTCGGAGCCCATCTCTCCAGTACGGTCATTTTTATGGTTCCCTGTCAGGGTTAGCAAAGGCCGCTGGGCACCTGCACTGTGTGGGGTCCCAGGGTTATGGAAGAGAAACAGTGGATGTGCCCATGGCCCTGGGAGCTCGCCACTGGGGACGACACTGGTGTGTTGTCTCACTGCCTCATTCAGTTTTCATGAGGTGTTACTGAATCATTGTGTGAATAAAATTCTATTCTTAAGTTAAATGGAAACTTGACACTAATACTGCCCATCATGCTTGAGTAGAAAGCTTGCTTGAAGGTCACAGAATTATATGAAAAGCCCGTCACCTCCCAGAGTTTCCCTGTGCACCTCGTCCCTCATCTGGGCTGCATGTGCTCACAGGTACTCTAAGCTTCATGCCTACTCCTGTCTGCAGGGGAGCCCAGTTCGACCTCACTCTGTAGTGGAGCTGGCCAAGTTCTGGGGGCAGGGATCTTTGGGTATTGCCCTCATTCTTCCATATGACTGCCAGCATCCCTTTGTCCCAGGTGACATGTTTAGCCTTTGCTGTCAATTCTTCCATGCTGAAGTAAAAATGAGTAAAATACCTGTAATAGATGGCAACTTCCACCCAGATTTCTTCAAGAGGACACATGAGTACCCAGAAACCTTCCAGGATGAACCAGGAAGGCTCCAGTGATGGAGCGCTGGGCAGTGGGCTCGGCACTAAAATCACAGCTCTGAACCTTCCTCTCAGCTTCCAGAGTCAGGACCAGGTGACTGTGCCCTGGACAAATTGGGCTGGTGTGTTTTGTCAGAGAAAGCTCTTTTGTCTGAAGTGCCTGTGCCAGCTGCCACAGGAGGATGACAGGGAAGCCTGAGACACAGGTTTTCTTCGTGGTCTCACGAAGGAGTGACAGGTTTCCAGGAGTTGGCCTCACACTTTAAACTCCCAGTCATTTACCTTTCTCCAGGAGGATCCTAGACCCTGATCCCAGCAGTTTGGGAGGCCAAGGCAGGCAGATCACGAGGTCAGGAGTTCGAGACCATCCTGGCCATCATGGTAAAGCCCCGTCTCTACTAACAATACAAAAATTAGCTGGGTGTTGTGGCGTGTGCCTGTAATCCGGGCTACTCAGGAGGCTGAGGCAGGAGAATTGCTTGAACCTGGGAAGTGGAGGTTGCAGTGAGCCGAGCTCACACCACTGCAGCATTCTAGCCTAGGTGACAGAGCAAGACTCCTGCCATCCCCCTCCCTGCAAAAAAAAGAAAGCATTTCCACACAGGTAAAGCCAGAGACTGTGGGAAGACCAAGCCTGCGTTGGTTGTCCTTATTTCAGATGGTGAAGCTCATGCTCAGCGTGTTTGTTCCCTGTCCCATGAAGGTCTCTGTCGTGTCTCCAGACCACGTGAGCAACAGCACTGTCTCCGCCCGGACCTCGGACAGCAGCCTGGCGCCAGTGGCTGACTTCAGTTACCCTCCAGAATCCTCCTCCTGCCTGGACAACTCTGCAGCTAAGCACAAGCTCCAAGTCAAGCCCCGCAACCAGCGGTCGAGTAAAATGAGGCGGCTCTCATCGGTAATTGGGTTTCCTTCTCCACGCAGAGGCAGGCTAGGCAGGCTTGCACCCCCCACCCAACACACACCCCCAACCTACCTCACTCCCCCGCATAAGGTCTCATATCCCCTCCAAGCACCCCATAGTTGATGGAGCCATGCTGCAGGAGCTGAAGTTTCTCATCCTTTTAAACATAAACCACATCTGTCTCTCCCTTGCAGAAACACTCCATCCATCCATCCATCCATCCATCCATCCATCCATCCATCTATCAGTCCATCCATCCATCCATCCATTCATCCATCATTCCTTACACAGTCACTATTGAATGCTGGTTGCCTTCCCCCTGCACTCAGTGTAATGTCCACACTTCAGGCCTGGCATATCAGGTACTGCCTACCCCCCAGGCTTCTTACCCTCTTTCTCAATCAGCACTCTGGCCACCTTTCTGCCTCTTGAGCTCATGAGCTGCTTCTAACCTCAGGCATTGGTGCTGCTGTGGCCCAGCTTTGGGGCCTGACAGTCCCCCAAAGAAACTCACCCTGCCCGTTCAATTCCTTAGGAGCACTTGCCACATGCCAAAGTGATTTTTGCAAATGGATGTGCTCTTATTGCCAGTCTTGAGACCCTGTCCTGGCTGTACTTTCAGCCCTTAGAACATTTCTAGTAACAGAGATGTTAAATGGATGAGTGATTGAACAAATGAATGAGTGAATTAACAAATGAGTGAATGAAAGAAGCTGAAACACTAGCGTGGACACCTGCCTTGGGTGAGAGCCTACTCAGTAGCATGGGGAGCATGCCTCGCAAGGAGAGACCCCTCTTTGGGTGTGCTGCCTTGGGTGTCGTTACCTCCTAGTCCTAGAAGCTGAGAAACTGGTTCATGGAATACTTTGGCTTCATTTACCAGCAGGTTCGAGGTTCACATAGGGTTGTTTCCTCTCCCCTACATCATGGGCACTGTAATGCCTCCCCACTGGAGTCAGGGCCAGCCTGGCCACAGAGAATGACAGTGCTGAAAAAGAGATGCTCACAGGCTAATGTCCGCTGTCCTTCCCTCATGACATGATTGGGGGGGTGTTGGTGAAGTACCCAGGGCAAGCTAGGTGCCTCAGCTGGAGACAGCGGGCTGGGACCACTCAGGACTTCAGTGACTCCCTGAAGAGAGCGAGTTTTCCTTTGGGCGTATGGAAGGTGCTCTTTAAACTCATGCCAGCAGAGTAGACTTTTGAGGGGACTAATGTTGGAAGAAGCAGCAAGGTGGGTTATCTTCATGCTGATGTGCCAGCAGGGACCAGGTACTTGCATGTATGTGTCTGCGTTCAATGCATGTACAGTTAAAGGCTGTGTGCTGTGCAGGTGTGACAAGGTCCAGTCACTCGAGACCTGCCTGTCCTCATGCTGAGTGAGACCACAGGGCCAGGGCCTGCCCCCTTTTGGCCCTCAAGTCTGTAATTTATGACTCCCATGGGGATGTCTTTGGCTCTGGCCAGGGCATTTATAACCAGCCACAACCTGGCCAGGACTTGGTGACAGAGCGAAGCCTGGTGTCTATTCCAGGTGGAAACGCAGCTTCCCTTCTTGCTCCCATCTGTGCAGGGCTGTATCCCTCTTTCTTTACATTTGAACTTGACTTAGTTCTTGAATCCCACTTTATAGAATAAGAGAAAACCTGATACAGTCAGTCTGAGTAAACATGTAAACACAGCCTTTCCTTGATTTTAAACTCTGTCACATCCATGGCTTTCTCTTTTTTCCCTTCCCTGCTTGGTAAGGTGCAGGCATGAGTATCTTAAGTTCTCAGAGGTGTCCATATTTTCCTTCATCCACTGTTGTGGAACCTATGATGTTGGAGGCCTCTGTCCTTCGGTGTCCACAGCACCCTTTGCCCTTTGGTCATGAGATCCCTCTTCCCAACCGTAAGGACCTTCTTTGTGGCCTGGCCCCTCTCAGGGATCAAGGTGCTTTCAGACGCTCCCTAACTGTTCCCAGGATGGGAAAGAACAGCCTTGCTGACCCCTCTGCTGCCTTGTGTGGGCTCCATGACTGACAGTTTTAAAAGGTGACCCCCATTCTAAAGAGGTTTCAATATCAGCAGTTTCCTGTAGTAGTAGAAGACCATCAACATGGCAAAGTCAAGAACTTGCAGCTTTTGAATTTGTAGCTTTCTTTGTGCCTCTTCCTCTTTTTAAATCCAAATATGATTGTGCATTTTGTTAAGAGTTTGCTTAGGTATTGTCACAAACATCCCAGGCGTCCTGCATTCTATTAGCAAGCAGATGACATGAAAAATGTTAATAACATTAATAACAACAAACAACAAGAAGAAAAACCTATTGCAAACATATCCCTGAGTGTCTTATTTCCTGCTTTAGAAAAGGGGAAGGAGAGAGCAATAGCCTGGGTGACTCTTGGGGCCTAATATCACAAACTTTCTAAAAAGATGAGCCTCTACACGTCATCAACCTTTTAGTCATCTTCACATGTTACTTTTGAATGATTCTTGGTTACCTGGAACTCCTTTCCTTCCCAAGAGAGCAGGAACTGACTGTGACAGAAGGAGGAAGTTGGACTGGAATCTGAATTCTAGAGATCTTTCGGAAGAATATCACAAGGCAGTGTATGTTTGCCAAGCCAGTAGGGCTTCAGGAGGCCAGAGAAGGGAGGATCTTAAGCTGCAGGGAACAGTCAAGACTACCTATAGAGGGGGAGAGTTTGAAGCAGTCCTTAGGGGTCCTGGTAGAGCATCCTGGAGGTTGGGGGCAGGGGGTGGGGGTGGCAGTCACTCAGACCAAGTGTCTGGCACAGTGTTGGGGGCTTGGTTTGACCTGAGTAAGGAGTGGAAGAAATAACTTAAGACCAGAGAATCTAGGACTTTAAATTTAGCTGAAAATTTTGATTTTATCCTATAAGCTGTGGTTAGCTATTGACATGATATGAGTCATCTTTTAGGAAAACCAGTCTAGCTTTGCTATGAGGGCAGATTCCTGAAGTGTTGACATGGGAGACTGGCTGTGAGGAACACAGGGCCATAGAGTCCCAGCTGTTCAGCTGGGCCACCTGCTTGCCCAGGCTTGGCCAAGGTATTGGTTTCTCTGGGCTCCTGGCTCTGAAGTGCAAAAAGAGACCTAATCATCTCTTCCTCACTGGGACGAATGATTAAATGAAATAACAAGTGTGGAGCACAGAGCATGGTAGACACTGGCTGCTGTTGGTTGCCTTCCCTTGTTGGTCGCATTACTCTCTAGTCCACTGGTATTGAGGCTCTGCCAGAGGAGTTGTAGGCATTTACTTTGGAGGCATATCCGCCATTTTCCTGATAAACTTGTGAGCCCAAGTAGACCAGCAGGATACAGACTGAGAAAAGACACCTGTGGGTATATGCCTACTTAAGTGCCAGCTTTAGAGACATTGCTATCACTAAACCATTATAAGCCTTGAAGAAACCGGGGAGGTGATGGGCTTCCTGGAATTTGCTATAGTGATGGTGCTTTTTATTTCTTTTCTTCTCTTCTTCTTTATATCTCTCAGCGTGCTCAGTCTGAATCCCTGAGCGACCTGACGTACACTCCCGAGGAGGAGGAAAACGAGGAGAAGCCACTGCTGGAAGTCAGCCCAGAAGAGAGCCCCAGCTCTGGGCAGCAGGACGTGGCACGGGACAGAGGCCCTGAGCCTGGGCCACCAGCGCCCTTGCTGCCAAACGGAGGGACCCGTGCCAGACGCGCCCGCCTGCAGCACTGCCAGGCGCTCAGGGCCAGCGTGGAGGAGGAGGGCACCCTTGGGGAGGACCCCTCAAGTCGCCTGGCCACCCCGGAACTCGCCGAGCTCCAGTCGACCCCCGCTCTCCGCGTGGAGCCCCCGTCCCCGCCAGCGGACCCCCAGCACCTCGGTCCCGACGGCGGAAAGCAGGAGGAGGGGGCAGCCCCCGCAGGCCCGTGTGCCCCGGCCACAGACACCGCAGAGGAGGTGGTCTGTGCTCCTGAAGACATCCGGAGCCCCTCTCCCACCGCCATCCCCAAGGGTGATCCGACGCCGCCCGAGACTGTCTCCGCCGCCGCCTCGGAGGCGCACTCTGCTCCCGACGACCAGCCAGACCACAGTGTCCTGCAGGAAGCGGAGCCGACGCCCCCAGTGCTCCCGGACGAGGAGAAGGGGCCCCCAGGGCCGGTGCCCGAGCCCGAGAGAGCAGGGGCTGAGCCCGAGAGAGCGGGGACCGAGCCCGAGAGAGCGGGGACCGAACTCGCCAGAGCGGGGATCGAACCCGAGAGAGCGGGGAACGAGCCGGAGAGAGCGGGGAGCGAGCCCGAGAGAGCGGGGAACGAGCCCGAGAGAGCGGGGAACGAGCCAGAGAGAGCGGGGAACCAGCCCGAGAGAATGGGGACCGAACCCGAGAGAGCGGGGACCGAGCCCGAGAGAGCGGGGACCGAACCCGAGAGAGCGGGGGCCGAGCCCGAGACAGCGGGGACCGAGCCCGAGACAGCGGGGACCGAGCCCGAGAGAGCGGGGACCGAACCCGAGAGAGCGGGGAACAAGCCTGCGAGAGCGGGGAACGGGCCGGAGAGAGCGGAGACCGAGCCCGAGAGAGCGGGGAACGAGCCCAGGAGACTGGGGAACGGGCCCTCCGCGGGGCCCGCCCCGAGCACCCCAGTGCCCAAGAGCTGCCTGAAGCACCGGCCCGCGGCGGCCATCGAGGGCCCTGCCGCATCCCCGCCGCCTGCCGCCACGAAGTCGCCCCCGGGAGAGCCCGGTCCCTCTTCCCCCGACGCGGAGGCCGCCGCCCCGGAGCGCCCCAAGGCCGAGCGGGCAGAGGCTCCACCTGCGGGCGCCGAGAGGGCGGCGCCGGAGCGGAAAGCGGAAAGGGGCGGCGCCGAGCTGCGGGGTGCGAAGAAGTTCTCGGTGTCCTCGTGCCGAGCGCGGCCTCGTCCGGGCGCCTCCCGCCCGTTGGAACGCGCCGGCGGCCGCCTGCCCCTCTCCAGCAGCCGCCCGGCCTGGAGGAGCGAGGCGGCCCTCGACGACCTCCAGGGGCTCCCCGAGCCCCAGCACGCGAAAGCCGGCCCTCGGAAGCCGGCGGAGTGCGGCCCTCAGGACTCGGGCGACAGAGCGGCCACCCCGGCCGGGCCTCGCAGGAGCCCCCAGGAGGCTGCCGCCTCGCCCGGGACGAGAGAGCCCTGCCCAGCGGCCAAGGAGCCGGCTCCGAGCGAGGACAGAAACCCCTTCCCCGTCAAGCTTCGGTCCACCTCCCTCTCGCTCAAATACAGGGATGGCGCCTCCCAGGAGGCGAAGGGTGTGAAGAGGTACGGTGCCGAGGTCCGGTTAGAAAGGTCGCTCACCGTGCTCCCGAAGGAGGAGAAGTGTCCTCTCGGGACGGCCCCCGCTCTTCGAGGCGCCAGGGCCCCCAGCGACCAAGGAAAGGGGAAGGCCCGGCCCCCGGAGCCGCTCAGCTCCAAGCCGCCCCTGCCCCGGAAGCCGCTTCTGCAGAGCTTCACGCTCCCGCCGGCGCCCGCGCCCCCCGACACCAGCCCAGGAGAGCGGGACCCCAGAAAGGAGCCCAGGACGGCGGAGAAAAGGCCGCTGCGCAGGGGAGCTGGTAAGAGCCCGCCGAGGGTGCGGGAAGGGCAGGGCCTGGGGAGATCCACATCTGCTCGCACATCTTGCTGGATGCCCGCCAACTTTGTTGCAGGAGAATTAGAAGGAATCAGAATTCCCACTAACATCATGTCTGATCTAGAGGAAGCTTGTCCAATCCGCGGCCTGGGCCCAGGGCGGTTTTGAAGGTGGCCCGACACAAATTTGTAAACTTTCTTAAAACATTATGAAAATTTGCGATTTATTTTTAAGCTCATCATCAGCTATCCTTAGTGTTAGTGTATTATATGTATGGCCCAAGACAATTCTTCTTCCATTGTAGCCCAGGGAAGCCAAAAGACTGGACACTCCTGATCTAGAGTAAGGAATAGGCCTACCTCGGTAGCTCACCCCTGTAATCCCAGCACTTTGGGAGGCCACGACCTGCGGTTAAGCCCAGGAGTTCCACACCAACCTGGGCAACCTAGCAAGACCTCGTTCTACAAAGCATTTAAAAACTAGCCAGATGTGGTGGTGCATACCTGGGGGCATGCACCTCAGCTACTTGGGCGGCTGAGATAGGAGGACTGCTAGAGCCTGGGAGTTCAAGGCTGAACAGTGAGATACGATGGTACCACTGCACTCCAGCCTGGGTGACAGAGTGAGACTGTCTGTTTTAAAAAGAGAGAGAGAAAATAAGGAGTAAAGAGTAGAAAAGGGAAAAGAAATACCAGGATTTTGTGTAAGTACAGAGAAGTCAAGTGTGTAGGCATGAGACAAAAAATGCAGAAACTAATTTTGATAGGACTCTCAGCAAATCCCTCAAATTCTTCTCCCACTTTTCACCTGAGAAACTCAGCAAAGTTCCAGTCCCAGGACGTGTGTACTCATTTTGATGCAGGTTCTTTCAGGGCCAAAGCTATTTCTTGACTATAAATGAAACATCTTACTCCTCATCAGACTCCTTCTGATCTTTTCTTCCAAGAAAGAATTTCCTCCCCCTTCATAATCAGGTTCACACGGCCCAGCTGCATGTGAAAAGCATTCTGTATATTGGAATCACAAGTCTGTGTAAAATGTAAGTCTCAAGAGGGTCAGCATTTACTTCCTGTGCCCAAAGAGAGATTGTGGCAGAATGTAAGAGCCTTTGAAAGCAGCTGTGTTTTGAAATGAGCAGAGACAAAGTAAATGAACTTTCTCTGCCTTTGACATTTCTCACTTCTTACAGTGTTTCAGATGAAATGAGAAGTCTGTTGAAAATGGGTATTTGCAGCAGAGCTAAAGAATCTTTCATTGGTGGGTTTGTTTGTTGGTTTGTTTTTGAGATGGAGTCTCACTCTGTTGCCCAGGCTGGGGTGCAGTGGTATGATCTTGGCTCACTGCAACCTCCGCCTCCTGGGTTCAAGCAATTCTCCTGTCTCAGCCATGAAATCCCAGCCTGGGATTACAGGCATGCACCACCACATCCGGCTAATTTTTTTACATTTTGGGTAGAGACGAGGTTTCACCATGTTGCAGGCTGGCCTCGAACTCCTGACCTCAAGTGATCTGCCTGCCTCAGCTTCCCAAAGTGCTGGGATTACAGGCGTGAGCTACTGCACCTGGCCTGCTGGTTTTTTTAATAAATGGAAATCTGTGAGCCAGAAAATGAAACTACACAAATAAGCTGTGTGTGCATGTGATGAAGGCCCTAGAGAGAAGTTTTCCATGGCAAATTTTGTTTTTAAAAATGTTTTGGCCAGACACGGTGACCAAAATCACACCTGTAATCCCAGCATTTTGGGAGGCTGAGGCATGTAGATCACAAAGTCAGGAGTTCAAGACCAGCCTAACAACATGGTAAAACCCTGTCACTATTAAAACTACAAAAAATAGCCAGGCGTGGTGACGTACACCTGTAATCCCAACTACTCAGGAGGCTGAGGCAGGAGAATTGCTTGAACCTGGGAGGTGGAGGTTGTGGTGAGCCGAGATCACTGCACTCCAGCCTGGGCAACAGAGTGAGACTCTATCTCAAAAAAAAAAAAAAAAAAAAAAAAGTTTCAGGCTATTTTAGAGGCTACTCGAAATCCCAAGGTTCCATTCAAGCACTGCATTGTAGGACAGAGAGGAAATAGAGCTTGTTGGCTCTCTTAGGGAATCCTGCATCCTAAGAGGAAAATGCACACACAGGAGGAAAAATTAGCTCATACAAAACCATGTAAAAACAGTTCCAAAATAGTCTAATCTTTTCTGGCTCTTTTATAGTGCTTTAAATTCCTAAGGTGACACGCAGGGATTCACAGTTCCAAAGAGCCCACACATATGGCCTTCCCAATCTCAGGCCCCTTGCCACAGCTGTGATTTTATGTTGCTGTTGCCACTGCAGTAGGATAATCAGAGCGGGAATTTGGAGGAAGTTCAAGCTGTAGTTGATGATCCACTCTGCAGATTTCCATTGAGGTTATTGAAGCTACTGTAGAGTGATTCAAAAGCCATTGAAGTAGCAAGGGAGGGATGAGTTGCTCTCATGCACATGAAACCCTGACCTTCATGGCCTAGAATTGAAAACGTCTCTCAAGGGCTTCCTGAATGAATGGAACTTAAAAACAGAATATCCAGCTCATACTCAGATCTGGAAAGGAAGCATCGGACGGCAATGCCTGGCCCACTATTTACCTATAAGTTCCTCAATCTAAGCTAGGCTTTCTTCACTATAAAATGCCTGGGATGGTCTGTAAAGACCTTGTGTATTTTTCTTTGATTTATAAAATGTAATAGAGTGTTTGTTTATTTGCAGCTTTGCTTATATAGTAGAAGAGAATTGTCTCATCCAAGTTGAATCACGTTCTCTAAAACCATAGAAATGACAGATGAATTACAAAATGAAAGAAGAATCTAGGTTCCTTTATGGGTATGGGTAATGATTTTCATTTTAATGTAAAGAGAGGAGAGAAGGAATTACCCGCATTCTATAGGGAAGCAACTCTGGGGGCAGGGGCAGTGGTACTGGAGGGACAGATACCAGGACAGGCTGGGCCTGCTGCCTGATCCTACCTGGACCTTGAGGGGCTGTCTCATGCTGACCAGAGCAGAATCTCAGAGTCTGCACTGTCAGACCCTAGCAGAGAGACTGCCCCCATACCTTCCCCAGATGCCGAATCTGTTTGTGCTTTCTTTCATTATTATCACTTCTATTATCATTCTTATTGCTCCCAAATTATATTAACTGGAAGCAATTCAGTTCATATAAGTCTTACGGATAAGAAAAGTTTTAATAACAATATTACTCTGTTTCCAGAAAGACCTAATAATTGCTATTGTGGTATCAAATATCTTGCCCAGCGCTCCCAGATAAACTTCTGCCTCCCTCTAGGGTAATGTATGGTAAAGTTTGATAATTGAAGTGTTCCCGATGACTCTGCTTTGGGGACTCAAGCTGCTTTGTCCCCAGCACCTGGTTTATTCTTCTTCCTCTCTTCCACACCCTGTGTTCCTTCTTTGAAGGAATGGAGGAAGCTTCAGAAGAAGGAATAGGGAAGGATGCAGTGGTGGTTGGTCATAATAAACAGAGGGGCCTGGCTTGCCAAAGGGGCTGAGCCTCACAGGGGCTATGCTGGAGTGATTACTGCAAGCTTAGTACATGTCTGTGCTCCTTGAGGCAGAGGAGCCCTGTTAATAGGCTTGGTTCATAATTTGCTGATCTGTCCTAGGAAATAAATGGCCCCGCGTTATCAGCCTTGTTCATTTGTGCAGAACATTATGCATCCTTCTGTTGGTTCAATCTATCCCAGAGTCTAAATTACAAGTCATAAAGCAGCTTCTGCACACAAGATTAGAATGAGAACAAAGGAGTTAAGAGAATATTGTGTGGAAAAATTGCAAAACACAGAAACTATGTAGAAAAAAAAATCACTCCTAAGTCTACCTTCCTTCTACTCTGTCTTGTTTCTGGGTTTGAGATTTATTTTTTCACAAAGTCGTGGTCACATATTGGTGTTTTGGGAGGTAGCGCAAGAAACTACCCTTCTCACCTGGGACCTCATTTGATAACCAGCACTGGCTTCTAATCTGAGTTTGATTCCTCCAGACTGGGTTGGTGACACAGTGACACATTCCAGTCTCTGACCCTCTTTTTCTAGACTCCAGTATTCACTCATTTGTGCATTCTTTTTTTAAACAAATATTTAATGTCCTCCTGCCATGCAAGCTCTGTTTTGGCCCCAAAAGATGGGAAAAGCACAGGGGCCTGACCCTTGGAGTTTATCGCATGGAAGAGGCTGGTGTTAGCTGGCTGCTGGGGGAATGCAGACAGCCATTTTCTAGCCTACCTTGTCTTTGGATGTCACAGCCATTTTCTGAAGGAAATGAACTGAAAGAGACTGTCACCCTTTTTCAATGACACAGTTCAGATATATTCAAATTCATCTGGGTTAGAATACAAGCTGTAGGGGTTTTTTGATACCATGCTAAAAATATATTTCTATCTCTTGAATTTTTTAATTTTCATTTTATTGTGATAAGAACATAAAACATGAGATTGATCCTCTTAACAAATTTTAAAATGTACAATACAGTATTGTTGTCTGTAGGTACAATGTTGTAGAGCAGATCTCTAGAACGTACTCTTCTTATATAACTGAAACTTTAAACATTGATGAGTAGCCTCCAATTTCCCTCTATAGAAGCTATAAAAATAGAAATTTTAGAACTGCAAAAGCTGGAGTGGCTATATTATCACACAAAGAAAACTTCAGAAAAAAGACAATTATTAGCGATAAAATGGAACATTATATAATGATAATTTCAGTAATATTGGTGAATCAAGAATGCATAACAGTACCTAATGTGTATGTCCCTAACAGCAGAACTTCAAAATACGTGAAGCAAAAACTTGGCAGTACTGAAAGGAAAAGTAAACAAATCCATAGTAAAATGTAGAGATGTTAGCACTCCTCTGTCAGTAGTCAAGAAAAGTAGCAGGTAGAGGCCAGGTGTAGTGGCTCACGCCTATAATCCCAGGACTTTGGGAGGCCAAGACAG